TTCACCGTCTCCGAGTTCTGCAAGCTCGTTCATCCTCCGCCTCTCCGGAGATCCGCTGGTCAGACCGGCGTGGGGATAGCACTAAGTGCACGTGCAGAAACAGTTTTAGTCGACTGGATTCCAGTGGATAGTCGACTCTGTACCGTCCGTCTAAAAGTATCGGTGAGCGCATCTCGTAATCGGATAAAAAAGCTCTGTCTGTTCGTCATCGTGGCTTATGCGCTGACGGACTACAGTCCAGACACAAAAAAAGACAAGTTCTACCACCAGCTCATCAACCTCATCCACAGTAGACGACACACTAACATCGTGATACTAGCAGACTACTTGAACGCTCAAGTAGGTAGGTTAGACACTGATGAAATCTCACTTGGTGGCCAGCACAGTCTCGGTGTGAGGAGAACTGACAACGGCAACTGTCTTCTGCAAATCTGCGCTGAACATGGTCTCATCCTTTCGAGCATCAATTTTTGCAGACCATGGCGCCAACGTGCTACCTGGCGACCTCCATCGTCTGATCAGCTCTGGACTCAAAAAGATCATATTTATATCGGGTATCGATGGAGAAATTGCCTCATGGACTGCAAATCCATCTGGAGCACATATCACAGCTCTGATCATGCACTCGTGTGCGCGAAATTCTCTCTTCGCTTTGGCGGAAAACAGCACCGTCACCCGAGAAGACTCGATTTGGTGAAAATGACCTACCCAAACATAGTTACTGCCCACCAAAACACGTTAGCTGCTGATCCAGACAGTCTGTTATCCTCGAACGTTGACAACCAGTGAACTCACATCCGTAAAGCCATAAGTTCGTCACCACAGCATGTGGTTTCACCAAACGCACAGTCAATCACTGGGTTTCGGCACGTTCTCTCCAACTGCTCGACACTCGTCGAAGCATCCCTCCAGGCAATGAATACAACACAGTTAGTAGGACTCTCAGTACTGAACTGAAACGATTCATAAAAGAGGATCGAGAGACCTGGTAGGCATAACGCGCTTCCGAGATGGAACTGGCCTCAGCTTCCGGTAATGCTCACAAACTTTTTCGACTAATCCGAGCCGGTAACAAAAAACAATGCGTCAGTAAAACCCTACGCGAAATTAATGGCCAATGTACCCACAATCTACAACGTCTGCTTGGGCGCTAGGCGGAGCACTTTCGTCGACAATTCAGTTGGTCATCGACATCATCACCCCCATCTCTCAATTTCTGTAGTGCTCCATGGTCTGTGGACATTTCTTCGCCTATGGAGAAAGCAGTCTTTTGAGAGCTCAGACTTCTGAAACGCCGCAAATCGCCCTGCTCAGATGTGCTACCTCCGGCCCTTTTCAAAGACGGTGGTGTAAGCTTTGTTCGCGAACTAACTTCCTTATTACAAACCATCTGGGCTACTGAATCCATTCCATCCGAATGGAGTTTGGCGGACGTCGAACCTGTTTTCAAGAAGGGCTCTCGCCACGATTGCTCCAGTCACCGAGGGATTAGTCTCATCTCTGTTGCATCCAAACTGTTAACGTTGTTGATCGTTTTCAGGCTCATTTGGACAAGACAGCGTCATATTCGTGAAGAACAAACTGGATTCCGCCCTAACTGGAGCTGCGGTGATCACATATTTATGCTACGCCAGATACTCGAGCAACATCAAACGTTCAGTAGACCAACCATCATTGTGTTTTTGGACATACGTGATGCGTTTGACTCAGTTAATACAACAGCTCTTTGGACTTGTCTGTTAGGAAGCCGTGTACCTGAGAAGTATATAAACCTTCTAAAAGACCTCTAATCAAACATATCAGGCCGCGTCAAGGTTTATGGTCGAATTTCCCCTTCATTTACCATCACAAGCGGAGTTAGACAAGGTTGACCAGCTTTGCCCTTCCTCTCTAAGTTCGCAATAGACAAAATCCTAAGCTGCGCTCTAGAAAACTACAGCGCTTCCGGTGTGAAGCTCTTTCCAGGTGATCGACTCTGTGACTTGGAATACGCTGACGACATCGTTTTACTCTGCAATTCCTCCCAGGATGCTTAAAACGTCCTGTGTAAGTTGGCATTGTCCGTCACGCAGTTTGGTATGACGTTTTCTCCATCGAAATGTAAGGTTTTACTAGATGACTGGCAAGATTCTACACCTGTCCTCACGCTTATGAACGACTAGTTGGAAATCGTCAGTTACTTTACTTATCTCGGGAGTTGCTTCAGATCAAGAGGACTGACGGAAGAAATATCAGCGCGTATCCGCAAGGCTCGAGTGGCTTTCGCTAACCGACGTCACCTGTAGCGCCGACGCGATCTCAGTCTCTCCTTGAAAGACCGTGTTTACAATGTCACAATACGCTCTCTCCTACTCTACGGCTGTGAGAGTTGGTCCCTCCACGCAAAAGACGTGTGGAGATTAAGTGTATTTGATCACCGTCTCCTTCGTTACATGGCCAGAATGCGTTGGCAACAGCGAATCACCAACGACGAGTTTCTCCGAAAAATCTTCACCGCCAACAATCTCATTCATCATCGGAATGCCGTGATCTCGCTCCAGAGACTTCGATGGCTAGGATACGTATTGCGGACGCCGGCTCAACGATTGCCCCATCGTGTTATGTTTGCGTAAGCTGACACTAACTGGAAGCGGTGACACGGTAGACAGCGAATAATCTGAACTTGAACACTGAAGGCGCTAACCTCAAAACTGGCAGTGGTAGGGCGCTCTAGACTTCAAGGTTGGGGTCCCAAGGACAGAGAACATCTATGGCTTGGTACAATTGCANGCGTCAATGGCGCACCTGTTGCGAGACTCTTATTCGTTGATTTACATCTAAACCATTTTCATATCTCTTTCTTCATTTGTTTTGCCACATCTGCCAATTCTATGTAACTGAATACTTGTTAAAGATATATATAACACGTATTCAACTACATAGAATTCGAGCCCATGCATGGACGCCGCCTTTCGCTTTGTACGCGCACGCTCTACCAGCTGAGCTACGAGGTTTTATTCTTCCTGCTACATCTCTATACTTGCAGTGGGAGAAAGGTACACTTGATTGATCTTGAACGTTTCTCGGATTACACAGATCAATTCAATTTACAACTTCTTTTTAGCATGGATGAAGTTCATCCTTTTTATTTTAATCTATAATTGATAAGCAATAGAAACATAGCTGACTTTGAACCAAGCAGCGTGAGCTGCATGCCAAAGTGGTCGGTAAATGTACAGGAGATAAGCTCTCGTACTGCGCCGATGCGCACAATTGCGTATCCACCTCGCTGTCTGTCTGTCTGTCTGTCTGTACTCCACTAAGGCCCAACGCCAGGGCGTTTGTGACCTTGACAAACAGTTCCGCGCTGAAGTGAGCAAGTGAAACTAAGCGACAAGACGGCATGTCCACCTGACGATCGGATCAACGCACCAACCAATCACGTGTGACGCAAAATACTCCTGATTGCGACTGATTGGTTCTTTCATCTGGCGCCAGCGGACCAGCACGTATGTGTGGCGTCTGATGTCACGCGATAGAAAAATTGATGAATGTGTGGCTGCTTGAAGTGCCTTGAACAAAAACAATACGCACTGAGAGTGCGCGCGCTCGATGCAATGGACGTGGCCGCCCCGTCATAATTATTAATGATACGTAAAATGTGGACTTCAGAAGTGTGCTTGTTTTTTGAGGCAGCAAGTTTCATAATAAGAAGTCGTGATAAACTCAGCATTACCTGAAAATAACTGTTATCTAACCATTGCTTACCGCTTGTATACCACAAGAAACTGTGTCGATCTGGGGCTTGTAGACGTTCGAACATGAACCGAATCACTCGAGTCCCGGTAATCGAGGCCTGCTGACTGGTTGGTATCTCGTCCAAACTGTGCAACATATCGCGTAACAATGCCAAATACGCAATGGCCAATCGGAGTGTGTCGATTTTTGAAATGCGTCTTTCATAGGGGAATGTGGGCAAACAGGTCCGTAGCATCTGTGTGGATCAATCGCACAAAGTTGGTGGATTTGTATTACGTGTTTCACAGGGTTTGAGACGAAAAGACGAAGAAGACCGAAATTTTGGCTAGATATAAGGCTAAATTGGCCATTTCAACATGTGAGGTTATTTACGAATCACCAGATGGACAGGAAAGTGGCGATATTGAAAACGGTGAGCTGACTAGAACAAACGAGAATGCCTATTTCGTGTCTGGGAGTGTCAATTTCAAATAAATCTGCCACCGGAAAGTTTTTACAAGCTTGTTAAAATCCATGATGCATAACACTTCTTTATGGAGTCCGATTTTACTGTGTTCTAAGCTTTTACTTTTGGCTTTTTTACCCACACTCTGATCTAGGTGATTTGGATCCCTTTGATATCACCATATGGGTCGCAGTTCGGAATCCCAAAGATGCAGTTTGACTTCTCCCATTCCATCTCTCTGTATAACAGATATTTGATTGACCAATTTTGGTCTAGATTAGTCTGTTCATCGCAAGGACAGCAAACAATTTTGTTTTCCTGCTTCATGAACATTTCATCTGTTCTCCAATAGTCATGAAGCAAATCAGCTGAAAACTGAGCAATCTGGTGTAGTACAATCGCGATTGATCACGCATGGTCTAACCGATAAAACCATATTCAATGAAACATTGACCACCGATGTATGATCATCTCGTTGTATCTCGCTTCTGTTTCACGGAACTTTTACCGATGACGAGGTTGTCCATAAATGAGCAGTAAGGTCCATGGGAAGCGCCCATATGCGCGTAACAACGATAGACTTAATCTATAGACGCAATGAAATATTCAGTTGCTAAATATGATCAACAACAATGCCGGGGTGCATAAAAGCGGACAACGCGCGCGCACACACACACACACACACACACACAAACTGACACACTCACAGACGCCCGTACTCGACCACATAGCTTACACGTTAGATTGTTTTCATCCCGCTGACCGACAGACTGGCCGCGTATGGGCTTAATCTGACGGTCCTTTGTGTTCCAATTCTCATTCCAGTCCTGTGATCCAGCTACAACATCCGCCATCCATTTCGGGGTGGTCATTTCAACGTACTGGATAAACAGGTTTTGTTGCTCTAGTATAGCTTTTTGAACATACCGAGCGGGTAAGAGCGATAGGGAGCTAGTCTGTACCGTTAATCTCATAGAAGATTTCGCTACATCTTCACCGTTACAACAAGATGGACCGACAACAATAAAAGACAATTGATCAGTTTATAAACATATACAACAAAATCGAGGCCGTGTGTGTGTGTATCTGTGAGTGATAGTGCTTTTGGCAGACCGGGTTTTCGTCATCGAAGTGCGATAGATTCCGCGCGATTCGGTAACCGAAACTTGTCTGGTGTCAGGGAGATTTAATCAGCCGATGCTGAACCGTGGATGACACACACACGTGTACTCTTGAACGAAGGTGGACGCTGATGATGCCGAAGCATGGTTGACTGTGTTTGTAATTGTGGTGCTGGTTGATGTGTGTGTATTCCGTATTGAGAGATCATGTCGGAGGAGATGATCTAAATAATGACCGTAAATCACTGTGTCACCATGTATAATTTCTCATTTAGTAATAAAAGCGACACGTGGTGGATGAAAAAGTGTAGACAGATGGAGAAGGCTGCTACTATTGGTAATAGTCGCAATCTTTTCCGTATAATTAGGAATACGGGCCCCGGAAAAACAGGCGTAAGTGGGGCAATTGAGGAATCCAGTGGCATACTGATTCACCATTAGCAACGCCATCTTGATCGATGGGCTGAACATTTTGAGGCTTAGTTCAGCTGACCCCCCTCCCCTTCCATCGATATCTGAACTATCACTCTCTCCCCACCCCTCCACATCCACCTCGACTGAACAAATATTCCCAGTTGATATCAGTACACCATCAGAAATGGAGGTTTCCCGATAAATAAGTAATCTCCAAAGGGTTTAAGGCTTCCGACCCGGATGGAATATTCTCATTGGCTTTTAAGGAGGGACGATAGTAGCCTTGGTCTTGAAATGAAAGAAAATCCTGAGAACATTGTGGGAGACAGAACAGGTTCCAACTAAATGGTGTCAATTGGTCATCTTATCGATTTACAAGAAAGGTGACAGGTCCCCCTGTGAAAATCACAGAGGAAATAGTTTAGACAATACTGCCTAAAAATCATACTTCGTCCATTGTCTGCCGTACCTGAACGGAGCACGCGTGACCTGGTCGAGGTGAAACCATCTTGGCAACTCACCATTCCGTTTGAGTTGTGTTAATGCCTCACTGGACCTTTTGGTTCATAGTGTCTGCATTTTCCTCTCTTTCAGATTGTCAATCAACTCCCTCTCCACGGAGAACATCCTGTCTGTCGTCGACGGTTCTAGCCCAAGCCTAGACTTGGCTCCCTTGCTGTTGTCTGGTGTATCCGTTCACGGGGGGATATCCTGCCGCACACACGAGCCAAGCATCTCACAGAGGTAGTATAGAATAAATTTTAGAATTCAGACACTTCTTTCGTAGACCTGACAATTCTGTCTTTCTCGATCTGAAAGCGGCTTACGACTGTTCTAAACTCTGGTACTACCTCGTTCCAAAGGGATTTTCTGAGAAGTTTGTTCCAATTTTGCGATCTATTTATACTAACAGCGGCGTCGAGTTCGAGCTTAAAGGCACATTTTCGCCCAAGTTCGCTACAGTTTGTTGGCAAGTGTTGTGTGGATTGATCGCTTGTTTTACTGCATCAATTGTGTTTTTATGATTGGTCCGTACAAGACTTTGGTTTTGCAAATCGGAGAGAGACAATCTGATTGGTTCAAGATTGTATCTGAACGTCTGTGATTCCCTTCACAGATGTGTTTCGTGTCCGGTGCACTTAAAAAATATATCGAGAGAACTTTCTGAAGAACTGGCTTTTGACAGGATTGTGCACTCTCTCCTTTCCTATTTGACTTTGATATATATTTGATCATGGAAACCGTTCGATCCTCGTGCATCGAAAGCGGCATCGATTTTCTCCCAGGTGGCCGATCGTCTTATCTTGAGTATGCAAACAGCATTGTGCTACTAAGTGAACATCCAGGTAAGTGAAGAGCTTTTCTGGATAGTTTGAGTGCCAATGCATCTATGTTCGGTATGTGTTTTGCACCTTCCAGACTGGGTTGGTCCAGACCTCATACTCACTTTAACTGGGGTAACTGGACGAGAAATGCTGAGGTTAGACGTAGATTTTTAGGTAATCGCGGTCGGCTACTGAAATAAGTGTTCGATCTTGATAGAATACTTTGGTTGGGGTGTTTTGCACAAGTGTCGTGATCATAGCCTACGNGTTACTGTTTCAAGAAAACTGTGGTGAGTCAAGCTTCCTATGTGACGCCAGCCAAGCACCTACGAGTTTTTGGACAACGAACCACAGGCCGATTTTGCCAACCATTCAGAAGTCGTGCGGTCCACACAGAAGCTGTATAACGTCAAGAATACAAAAGGTGATTGGTGGATACCTATATAACTAATAAAATTCCTTTATACATATTATTTATTCCACTTGATTGTTTTCAATTTTCTATTAATTTGGATGACGTCCAACCAATTTCCGCCTAATCTAATCTCCCTTTTAATTCCCCTACATATTTTGCCTCGCCCGTTGCCACACTGTTCTTATCCGGTATCGATTAGGTCCGAACCAGTATCCTAGGTAAGCTGTATGAAATATTGGTTTTTTATCGATGCGAATCTTCACTGGACCTCTCACATTCAACATATTGTCTGTAACCCTTCCTCAGTCTCACATTCAACAATCGATTATCACGAAATTCGTATACCAGTGTGTTTTCCCCGTTTTACCGTTCACCCGTTCACCAATTCATCTTTCTAATCTCCAAAAGAAAGATTTTATACTTTTTCGAACTGCCTTGACCGACCCTTATTAGCTATGTCTCTTTCATCCCGCTGGCGGAGGAGTTGATAACCAGTCTGTGTGAACGTCATTTGAATACATGTGAAAAGCTTGCACATCATATTCGTATCTAATCCACACCCGCTGCGCACAGGTTTAATTTCCTATCGTTCTCATGCGTTAACTAGACTCCAATCGTGTTGCATTACCTCTCGTATAAACATATATCGTAACTCTACGGCACCCTCTTTGGCAAGCAGTTGGGATGCCAAAGAGAACATTCTCTCAGATTTTCCTAAAAGTTTCGAGATTTAACTTTTTTCTCTATTTTGTACTTTTTATTTGAAATTTAGGCACTAAGCTTACACAAGTCATAATTAAAACAGAACAGAATACAACAATTTCAAAGTGTTACATATGGACAGCTTAAAACGACAGGTGAATTTGATTGCCACTAATGACTCCAGCTGAACCCACCCATTCAATCACCAATGGCCACATTCACACTTGGGCACGGCAATCGGTTTATCGATTCGTTTTCTGGCGTCTAGCTATGTCATCTGACGGACCGAAGTCTACCCATTCTTATTCGAATTTCATTTTTTCAGTAGTTATTGATTTAGCGACTTCAGAGAATTCATAGCTAGACCCCCGTCATACCTAAACCTTCACTCAAGTTCGATAACGTCCTCATGGATTACTTTTGCTTGTTTGTGGAGCAATAGATTCAACCCAAAATTGCTTGACCTAGTGGTAGACCCTGTTACTCGGGAGAGATGTAAAGTCCGAAGCAACCAATCCGGTGATGGGGTACAAGGAGACTACGGTTGGTGGATTCACTTGAAATTACAACGGATTAATTAAAGTCCGAATGGCAGAGATTTAATTCCAAGAGGGTATGTATATGTAAGTATGCAATAATAAACTCGCTTGCTGTGACCACCGTGATTATAACGAAGGGTTCTACCCAACAAATTCAATACAACAACCTACCTCAAATGCCGAATTGATGCTCAGCATACGTTTTCTTTCGCGTACTTTCGCACCCGAACGCAAGGCCGGTTCGTCGATGAGAAAATCCAGATTATCCGGAGACAGCCCGTCCTCGCAGAGTAATCCATCCATCGGATCAATGTCACAATTGTTGGGCCATTTGAATTCCACGCATTCCGAACTCGTTGGTGGTTCGTAATACGATCGTGAACTTTGATTGGACCACATGGATGGTGACTCAACCGGTCCATATCGGGGACACGGTTCGTCCGATCTGAGTGCCGGATCTGGCGGACAATGCATGTTCAATTCAGTGGACCATGACTGTGTTTCGGTTTCCAACTGGGAGATCAACACCGGTTGAGACATCTCATAATTACCAGTACAGGTATCAGGTGTATCGGAAAACACATCCTCCGCGTGCCAGTTCATCGAGCCGAATCACAACAGTTCTCGGGGCTATTGTCGAATAGGGAAATTGTTTTGCTTTTATACGAAGAGCTCAATGTTATCTGACTGGTGAATATTTGTGTATTCACATGTCTCGAAAGTTGTAAACATTTTCCCCACCTCATCCCGTCACTCTATAGAGCAGACAATTCCTCTGATAAAGCTAACGAGAACGGAGGGAGGGGTTGATTATTTGAATTGAAAAGGTGTCACCTATTCATCTGTTTGCACATTGTCATTCGAATCCGTCGACAATGCACGCGTCGCCACCACCACCGCCGCCACCACCACCGCCGCCACCGCGCCGCCCCGCCCCCCAACCGCTTTCCCTCATCCACCGTCCCCCAAAATCCTCCATCAATAGGCTAATCTGCTCGAGGGGACAGTGTGAGGTGAAGAGGTGTCAGAACAGATTATTGTGCGAAATGAAAACAAGTAATAGATGAGCATGTGGTTGAGTTGGATGATTGTTAAGATGTCTGTTTGCCGGCCACTTGAAACTGTCCGTTTCAGGTGTGCTCCGGCAATTGACACATATGCTGGCGCGGACGGAACGCCAAAATTGTCTCTGAGGCGATCAAAACTCTATACCGGGCAAATGAATGAACCAGAGGCGCAGGGTGGGTGGTTGCAGGTTGTGAGGTTATTCGCCCAACTAACATATANAACATATATCGCATCAGGGAATGTTGGTCTCATCACAGACTTGAAAAACATAACCAGTTCACGTTTGAAGACTATTCTAGGTTGTGTGAATATGTATATTTTCTCCCCGTTCGGTCAACAAAAACCGGTATTCGTAGCGAACAGAATATGATCATGGCCGGAGGAGGAAATCAAATTGTGCGTTCAGTAAACATATGTCACAACAGCCTTTTTATCCACTGACCCTAAAATTTAAAAAAAACAACAACAACAAAAACGGATTGAACTCTCTGCTGCTAGCTCACTCCAATATTCCCCCATTGTTTGGTGATGACAAACACCAATCTAATTATTGTTTGACCGATTAATGTCTTATATTGAAATTATAAAAATTTTACTAGCCTCAGTCAGATTCGAACTCACACCTGGAAGCGGCCTACGTTTTTTGTACAGCGCAAAAACTCTACCGACTCCGAGGCGAGGCCACACCATTAGCACACTGATCTGTTCACATTCGAATCACCCATCCAACTGACGGGGGCATATGGTATCCACCAGGTAGCGTGTAAGCTGACTAACGCGAAAGGTTTTTTTTTACAATACACCGAAATCCTTCGAATGAGCTTCGAATACAAGGTTAGTTGTTCGATATACGATAAACATTAGATCATCTAAGTCCGGTCCAGATTAGGTTTCACCTATGGTTAGCCATCTAAATAAACACCTCAGGATTGCACTCGTACAATGAGTTCTCGTTTTCACGGAACCAGTGGCTATTAATTGCGGTGATCTTTGTTCAAAAAATTTCTGATTGTCCAAATAGATCATCATTATAGTACATTGTACGAGAAACACGCATTTTAACGAACAAGTTCGTTTGCAATTAATTATCTATAGAATAATAAATCATAGTTTATGACAAACTGTTTGACCACAGAGAGAGGGGGGCGGGGGGGGGGGGAATGAGGAAATGACGAACCAATGGGAAAAGAACTAATCAACATTCCAGTTTCATGCCCGAATGTTGCTCACAATTTAGTCGTCACTGCATGTTGAACGATCGATCACTTGATGGGCGGTGGTGGCCAAGTGGTTAGGTCATCAACATGTGACCCGGGCTCCCGAGTTCGAACCGCCCCACCAACGTCTGTCTTCCACATTTCTATAATTTCCCAGGCGGCCTTTACATGGCCGCGCCCCCCCCCCTCCGTGCATGAAAATTGGCCGTACATTTGTATATTNAAAGACATTTATCTTAATCACCCCATTATTACCAGCCAGATTGGCCGTGGTGCTCACGGACTGGTTCGGATAAACGTCCCTCAGGAACAGGTAAGTGAGTGCACACAGAAAGAGATTGCAAAAACAGGTGATTTGCCTTTGAGTTGAAAGCGCAATAGTGGCGTAGAGATGAACACAATGCTAAGTTTTTCTAGGGATCGAAATAGGTATGTATTACAGATCACGAATCACAGTCACACCAGCAATCACAGGCTGGAATGTCCGGTCAACGAGACGCAGGAAAAAGGCCATTGGAGTATCAGTTGATCTATTGAAAGAAATTATTGGGATAAAATAATATGCAAATAGAAATATCATTGATCAAATGGATATCGACCGATCGCCATTCTCGTTCTTCGAGTCACGCGACTTCTGTTTAATCTGACTAGCTGTTGACTGAATGATACTGTTGACTTATGGCCTGATATCCAGAAACTGGAACGCGTAGGCGCTTGCCTAGAATTATCTGGGAAACTTAATTCACCACAGCTTTGCTGTGGGAAATTCTTTTTATTCAACTGTACTCAATTTGCGTGTCACCATCTCGGCAGTTTTGTCTCCCAACTAATAGTGGCATATGGGATCAAACCACGTAATTGCTGTGGCCGAGGCGTTTGAACCAGTCTTGTTAGTTCACAACCGTCGATGTAAGCGGGTTGGGAATCACATTCTGGTCACAGTGAAAACAATCGAAATTCATCTAATTAATCCCCTTTTAATGCTCCCCCCCAAAAAAAAGAACAAGTTTTAAACACATTCGATCAACCCCATGGCGATCTACCCGGCAGCCTCTTATAACCCAAACCCGTGTGCATATGTGACGTCCAAAATTTGAACAAAATCTGCTCACGGAACTGGAATGTGGGTTAGTTCATTTCTCTTCTCCTGTGTTATTAAACAATTTTACATAAATTTCTGCTTGTATGCAACGGCACGGTGATCTACGTCCTGCGGATAACACTGAGCAGAGTAAGAAAAACAGACACCGATTTTTCCGAACACAAAAATTCAAAAGATTCATCTTGCTGAAATCAATTGTTGTTAATCAAAATCAACAATTCCCTATGAAAAACTGTAATACTCCGAATATACGCGGATCGAGTGTAGCAAGTGTGAGCGAAATCCTGCAGTGATTAGGCTACCGAAATTTCCCAGATCCCCAGACGTAGGACTGAAGTCACAGAAGTAACGATTCAGTGGCTGAGAGAAATAAGGATGACTAAACGAAAGAATCTCATTGGATGCACCTGTATTGACCCAGTTCAGTTCGTGCTCTTGACACATGAGTCCTGTTTAAACCAATCGAATGTTGATTGATACAGATAGAATGCTTTCTTCTCACGGGCTATTCGAAAACGGTATTGCCTCTCTCCTTGGCTGGCATTTTCATCCAGTGGTAGGTGAACACAATAGCGTTTCAAATGCATCGTACAACTACTGGCCGAGCAAGCTATCGATACTGTTCAGGTTCTGAAGGTTCTATCGTCACATGACTGTACAGTTGCTGATCCCTTGTTTTGTCGTTTCATACCTTGTTCACATTAAATACGTCTTGCAAATGACTGAGACGTTCTAGCAGGAGTGGACGACCCGTCATGATGAGCTTTCGCGCTCTCCTTGCAGACAGGGTGTTAGCAGTAGCCGCAACCCCAACCAACCAGGTGCTCATGAATGAATCCGGAATCACAGAAGAGACCGAGAGCAGAAAAATAACTTTGAAGATTCCTTGCAATCGAGGTATACAGTGGTCGGATTTATCTGGATTTAAATTTATGTACCATCTCTCTCTCTCTTGCTCGAACTAGGAAAGAGCTTATGAAGCCATGGATATAATCAAGACAGTGATGCTCTTGCGAATTCCCTGTATTTGGAGCTGGAAATTGTTCTGTTAATGTTTTAATATGTTCCGTGAAACCACTTGGCCCCCAATCCGTCGTTCGCATGCAAAAATAGTATTTCCACATCGCATGGCTTGAAGCCCACCTAGTGAACAGATAATAGAATGCCTTCCCAGTCCTCCAATAATTTCCACAATTTCCTCACACCCCAAGACGACAAGGTCATTTTTTGGTGTGTCTTAAAATTGGTGTTGCATTCCACCTGGAAACCGGCTCCCTCGAAAATGTTTTGTTTTTCAATCATCCCTAGAGTGATTCTTCAAAAGTCATTAGTAATCGATTCATGTTGACCACATTTGTAAATTTATTGATATGCTGTCTGTCTTTCACTGCACACAGGCTTGATAAACTGGTTGTTCCATGAAATATTATTCTCAAATTTGTACTTGCATGCATTCTTTCTCATCGAATAAAATCTTTCTCAACGGTTGTCCGCTCATAGGCGATCATGCACCACTAACCTGCTTCTGTCATGAGAGACGAGTGGACAAAAGCAGTTGATCACACTGATGCAGTGTACTTAGTGCACCATGATGTCTTCAAAGCATTCGACCGAGTGAACCACAAAATACTGCACAATTATGGAATTCGAGGATTTGTACTGGGTTGAATAGAAGAGTTTCGCCGACAACATATCATGGCAGTTCGGGTTTGTGGGTCACTTGCTGACCCCGAGCAGTTCAACAGGGATCCGTGTTTAGCCCTCAACGTTTTCTAGTTTTCATAAACAATCTGGAGCCACGATAGTTCACGTTTGCAAACGATACTAGAACATGGAAACAGTGACAAGACCGGGGGCCTCAGTGGAATTTCAGAGAACACTTGGTGCTGCTTATCAATGATCGATTGAAAACGACACTGAATTCAATGCATCGAAATGTACTGTCCTATCCTTTCGCCTCAAAGCTCGTTTTCCGTATTCCCTGGGATATCAACATTTTTGTATCTCGGGGTCATTGTTCCAAACGGGCTTAGTTGTTCTATAAACTGCTCCAGGGCGTCGTCCGCA